CAACGGGGGAGGGCGCGGAGGAGAGGCGCGCGCCGCTGGCGAGGGCGGCGCGAGACCCAAGGCCGCTGGCTTCTTCACCCACGGGAAAGACAAATAGGGGTGCGGGCTCTCCCGCGTAGCGGGGGGGCCTACCTCGGATGGCAGCGCACCTGCGGCTAAATCGAACGGCAGCACGCCGGTCTACACGAGGTTGGCTCCAGGGCTATCAGCAGGTTCAGGACCCGGGACAGGCAGGACGGGACTTTGTTACCGACGTCTTGGCATGCAGCTCGTCGAGCACTCAGTTGCGTCTTCGTCTAGAAGGACTTACACGTCAGGCTTCAACTCTTGGTGCACGTTTCGCAGGCTGACGGAGAAGCCCAAGTTCCTAGGGCAACGTGCCGGGGACCTTCATGTGTGGGAGTTGATAGACTTCGTAGCCTGGTGTTTCGAGTCTGAGGGTAATCTAGCGAGTACAATATCCGGAAAACTCACGGCTGTACAACATTTTCATAGGCTGGAAGCTTCTGTCGAGCTAGACTTGTCGTCTCCGATGTTGAAATGTGCGCTAAGGGGGATTGCGAGGAACCACGTGGCTGTGGGGACGATACGCCGTGTGCGCCTGCCTGTGTCTTGGCGTATGCTGCTGGACGGGGAAAGCGCAAGCCAGAACTGGGGGGAAGGGGGCAGAGTGATGTGGCTGTGTCTGTGCTTGTCCTATCTCTTTATCACACGGTCTGATGAGGTGTTCGCGAATGACGCGGGCAGGGTGCATGAGGCACACTGTCTTACGAGGGCGGACGTAGCATTGTTTGCTGGCGAGATGCAATTAGTCTTTAGTCCCTATCGTAGAGCAGACCGCGTCGAAATGAGGTTTAGAGGGCACAAGGCCGATCAAGAGCAGAAAGGAAACATACGGGTTCGTACGCGAGACGAAGTCACCGGACCGCAGTCAGGTGTGAGAGCACGCGGCGGCGCGGTGGCTCTTGTGGTGGAGCTGTTATCGTGTCATGCGACGTTGCCTGACTCCGCACCGTTGGCTTCGTACCGTAGTGGAAGAGCAGTGAGAGTAGTGAGGTATACTGCTGCCCTCCGTGCAGTCAGAGAAGTGGTAGCGAAGTCGGGGCGTAACCCCCAGGAGTACGCGTTGCACTCGTTGCGAATTGGAGGCGCGACGGCTCTTGCATCGGGCGGGGACATCGCAGAACGAGTGATTCAGAGAGAAGGGAAGTGGAGGTCGGATGCATACAAGCCGTACGCGCGAAACAATGTAGAGGATTCGCGGCGAGTGTCACGGAAACTTACAGACGGCAGTAGGATCGTATCGAGACAGCCGGGGGAGGGGACCGTCTGGGGGAACGGATAGTTGACTTATTCGGTGGTCGTCCAGAAACTGACCTCGATGTGGGTGTTGTAGAATGGTGTGTACCATTTGAGGACTTGGTCAGTTTTGGGACTCCTGCGTTTGCAGTCGTAGTCCCCCGGCTAGTATTTGTGGGGAGAGAGATGGATTTGTAAGAGTTGACGCCGGCCTTTGCAGCTAACGCGGCCGGAGAGACGATGAGCGTTTCGTGCGTCTCTCTCCCCAACACGTAGCCTAGAAACCGAAGAAATAATGAAGCAATTCGAAAGAAAACAAAATAAAAGGAAGGTTTGTTCGTCGAAGCAGATAGAATAAACTGGTGTTTATTTTGTAAGAGTCGAATTAGAATTTGGCTTCATTTTCTACCGGAAACCCAGGGTCACGGTGTTTGGAATTATTAGTCTGGTAGTTGGGGGTGTCATTCCGTGATCGAGTCCACGCAGGGGCTGTAGCAAAGTCGGGGTAACGTGTGACAGCTACAGAGCGCGTGAAGCAACGGAAGGACAGCAGCAGCCGCCTAACGCAGTAGCGGCGGCAGTTTAGAAAATCCCGCCCTCCCATCCCTTTTCTTTCGAAGGTGGGGGCATAAGTTCGGGAATATTCGGTATCTAGTCAGGTGTTGTAGAATGGTGTGTACCATTTGAGGACTTGGTCAGTTTTGGGACTCCTGCGTTTGCAGTCGTAGTCCCCCGGCTAGTATTTGTGGGGAGAGAGATGGATTTGTAAGAGTTGACGCCGGCCTTTGCAGCTAACGCGGCCGGAGAGACGATGAGCGTTTCGTGCGTCTCTCTCCCCAACACGTAGCCTAGAAACCGAAGAAATAATGAAGCAATTCGAAAGAAAACAAAATAAACGAGCCGATCTATATGTGATTGGCGCCGTAAATCCGCGTTTCATGATAATGACTTGGAGGTTCGGGAGGGAGAGGATCTTAGCTTGTACCGCACGGACGGGTACGTACCCGGACGTCGACAGGGTTCCCCTTATTCACAAATTATTGCAGTAAAACTACCAGCTATCCTCCGACAAATTCCAAAATGAGAAAGGCGTGCCCAAGGTGTGGAACTTGCTCTCCGGGTACCCTTGAATGCAGCCAAAACTCCAATGGAGACGAACAGTGCTGCATTCAAGGCGTGTGTGTGCTGTGCGGCTTTTCAGCAAAGACTGTTGCATCATCCTGCAAAGTCCCTGGCATACGATCTTCTCAACAGAATGCATAACCATCTGGTTGATGGCCATGTGCGATGGAAAGCTGGAGGGCGAGCTTCTCTGTTGGCTTTGTCGCCACTTTTTTTCTGAAGAAAATTGAAATCATGTCTCTGCCTTTGAGGTAGCAAGGGAAAGGGGATACCGGACAGAGGCGAGAATCACGTAAGCTTAAACTTTAGAGCCTATCAACAGCACTGTCTGGCTTCCATCTTGGTATTTTTCTTCTCTGCCGGAGAGACTCCAATCGTGATCGGAGATGCACTCATTAACACTTCAGTGATGCCTACGCTCTCACTCATCAAGCGAGAACGGTTTGGCGGCCCGTTCCCTCAAGTTCGGTCGCTCATGGTTGGTGTTTTAGTAGGAGGTGTGAGACGGGCACAGCGCGCGTGTGTCTAGACGAAAGGCAGGGGCTTCGACGCTTTGAACTTGCTGGTGTACATTGTTCGTGTTTGAAAACATTCTAGCTTCGGTGGGGTTCGTGGTAGCAACTAGTCCTGTCCGTTGCAGCGGTCATCACTGGTTGTCGAAGCGATTTCTCGGCCAATTTACGCTGGTATGGGTGTCTGCCTCAATACTAGGACCATCAAACCCAGGCGATACGACCTACAACACTAACCATATTTCTCGAAAAATAGGCGCAATACGAGAAACAAGACGCCACCGATGCACATGTAGACTATGTGCACAAACCATAATCGCGAGCTGGTGAAAACAATTGAAGCAACACCGGCAACCCTCGCACGTTCGCCGAGAGATGCTAAACGGGCTTCACACAACCTCATCCTCGTAGCCGCGTCCGAAACGCACCACAAGACTACCCAAAAGAGGAGGCTTCACCTGCGAACGAAGCGGACACACGGCTGCCTGAACTTACCTGCGGTTACACAACTATTGTACGAAGCCTCATCCCCCATCTCCCACAACTTCTTCGATCACAACACTCTTTCATTTCCTCTGGACATCGCTTCCGCAGGGCCTCTCGCGCGTCGAGGAAGTAGTCCGCCCCGATATCCACCGTCACGAGCGCCTCTCCGACTGTCAAAACCGTCGTGATGTTCCCTTCTCGTCGAACACCGTCGTTGTCGAGCAATGCATAAACAGCTGCCTCGCGACGTCAATCTTCGCAGCGACGCAAGTTGCGTCCATCACCTCCTGCTGGGGGGTGTGGCGTTGACAATGGGTTGGTTGTTGTTGGGGTTATCATCACATACAAGGAGCGGGTGAGGTGATACGCGAATCGGGCCAAACGGGCAGTTCTCGTTTGCGTGTAAATTGGCCACACCTCAACCGCTGCTGGCAAATGGAAAACGCAACCAGAGAAGTTCAGGCGAAGGCCCCGCCGAAAACAACCTCCACGTTGCCAACACAGGGAAACGTAGAAAAAATCAGTACCTCATCTCCACACACACGCGAACACCACTGGGGCAGAGCATCAGCAGAACCCTTCAGCGCAAGCAGAACCCCCTAAGCTAGAACGAACCTGGTCGACCAATCAGCAGGGCCGTGTCAACAGACCGTGAAATCGGGCTCTCCCGGTCGGCGGCGGCCTCTTCCCCCCTGCCGTCGTCCCCGCGGCAGACGGAGAGTTTCTCGTGCCCAGGGGAACGGCGAGCTCTCGCATCCTCGAGGCCGGCAGCAGGTGCATACACCGAACGGTGGCCGCGACGAGAGCGGCTTTGGCGGCCACCGCTGCCCCCGTGACTGCCCCCTTGGCGTTGTCTTGGAAGAAAACCCGCGAAAACAGAACATGTGCAGCGACAAAAAAAAAACGAGAACAAGTTTGCTTCGGGATGGCGGGTCCGCGTGAGAATAATATTTTTGCCAACAATAAATCAGTCTCCGTGTGCTTGCAATTCTCTCTCGCCACGCACACAAGACACGGACGATCACGAGAACGGAGACACGTGGTACACACAGCACTTGTCCGTCTGATTCCACTACCGTAGGTTGCACATCATACCACGCCCCCTGGGCCTATTTTCATGGCCCGATTACTCCGCAGCACAAACATTGGCTGTGCTGAGAATGGTGATGTTGGAGCCTTCAGGTCAAGAGCTTTCCGAAAACGCACAATTGATGTTGTCATCATCTTCGTTGTGGAGTACCTTATGCAGCCTACGGTACATATGTGGCGTCAGCGTGATTTTCGGCTTCGGTCGCAATAATTCCCTCTCTGGCTCTCAACAAACATGTATTGATGCACGAAAAATCACACGTAAACAGGGAAGATACTGAGGGGAAACCGGAACGGTTTTTGAGTATGAAACCAACAACAACAACAACAACAACAACAACAACAACAACGGTGGTCGAGAATGACTTTAATTACCACGGACCGTTGAGTAAAAACGAAACCGAACGATTGAGAGTGCAGTTCAAAAAATAATCAAGTTTAGGTATAGACCTCGACGGTATCGCCGACTAGGAGGCCAGGCTTCTTGCTGACCTAGGCGATCTCGCGAGCGAGCTTTTGCGATAAGACCTTCGCGTCCTCCCGCGTGTCGAGGGCCACCATCACCTTCCCGTCCTCGGACACGGCGGCCTGGGAGATGCTCTTGTCTCCCTTGTAGTCTCTCTTCAGCATAAGGTCGGCGGCAGAGGGGGTGTGGCCCGTCACGTCCACGGTGCCCCCTGAAAATACAAATTTCAGTGGAAAACGATACAAACAGTGCAAGAACAAAAAATGAATGTTTCGGGCGCACATGCATACGGCGACGAGCAAAACATATCACAGAGGTAGGAACCAAGAGGGCGACGGGAGGGCATCTCTCGCCCAACCTAAATCTTGAGAGATCCTGAGAACAAATCACCATGAATTAGAAGAAAATAATCACAAATCTTTATGCGAAGTTTTCACGACAATGCCAGGTAACGCACACAACACGATTGTGACACAGCCAACACACCGTTCCCAGTAGTCGCTGCATGCAACACGACAAGGGAATGCAAGTCTAAGGCCCTTCTTTGTGGAAACATAATCTTGCAATTATATCTTGGCATTTTGACCCAAGATTTGCTCACAATATATCGCCGCGAAGATTTGCAGTATCGCGATTTATTGGGGAAATATCTTGAATGTTGAAAAAGCGGCGTGTTGTTCCTCTCTTCTGCTTGAAGTTGAAAAAGGCACGACGGCCACTTGGTCCACAGAAAATGCCAAGGTGTGGCGAAAAGTGAGCATGACGCAGTTATAGAAGGGGCATCCCTCCCCCAGCTGTATTGCCTCAACACTGTGGGTGCATACTAGCGATGGGCGCCTACCTGGGGTGGGTGCAAAGTTGAATCCGTTGCCCACGAGCACATGTCAAGCGGAGAAACAAAACTGTTCCATTGCTGTCCACCTGACACGAAAGTGCATCAACCCGAGGCCGATGACACCCCATGCACGTATCTCACAATGTAGCAGGCGTACCGAGGTCAAACCTCCGGCGCTGTCATCTGTACCCACGGATTTGGCTCGGGTGCAAACGGGTCGGGTGTGGGTTGATTCGATGAAGAGATAGAAGCGTCGCACACGACAGAGCAGTGTTGGCAAAACGTTCCTCCTGCTCTATGTTTCTACTTCAAAATAAAGTACTCTTTGAACGGTCCCTCGACAGACTGGTGATGACGCACGTGGAACGAGCCAGGGCAAATACGCATTTTTTTCGCGCGCCTTGGTTGTTTTGGGGCGCCGACATAGTGACGACAGGGTGCGTTAGAGACCCTTGCGAGTGTGCCACGTGCAGATTTCATGGCGTTATGGACGATTAGGTTGACTGACCTTCGGTGATCGCGCCGCACTGAGGCAAGATTTGTTACGCCACCTCAAGATTTGTCGGAAGGCTCGTTTCGACCGATCTTGGGTCAAGATTTGTTCGAAAGGGCAGATTTCGGGCCTCGAGAAATCTTGGCCAAGATATATCGGAAGATTTCGTTCCCATAAATCGTGCAACTGGCAGATCTTGGCCAAGATCAAGATTTATCTACAAGATTTTGTTCCCATAAATCGGGGTCTAAGTCATGTGATTTATTTTTCCCGTTCTCAAGACGAAGGCATCGATCGCCGCAAAAATCAAGAGAGGCGGCAGCAAAGACTTGTTTTTCACCTCGAGAAGGGGTCAGAGATCAGCCGTGTCAAGCTTAGCCAAAGACTTCTTCGCACCAGCGAGGGTCTTCCGTAGTCGATTGCCGAGGACCTTGTTGCCTCTGCCGTTAGCGTGCACCACGACTTCTCGTCCGCTTCCAGGTCAACCTGAAATTATTCGCCAAATGAGAAAAAGTAATAGAAGTGGAGAGGGGAAGGTGATCGTCGGCTTTCATCGGACCCTCGTCCGGTTGGTCTCGTAGGACGTGATGCTTTTGGGTGCTTCATGCGGCCCCGAAACCATTAGGTCTACCGCACGATCGACAGAAAGAAAAAGGTAGGAGTACCATTGGGCAAACAATGACGAGATCATGCGTTTTTTTGCGCTGTGGTCCGTACACCTTTACCTAGCTTCGATGCAACCAATTCAGGTCTTGATTTCCCATTCAAATCTTTGGCCCCAAATCCTCCCATCACCCCGTCCTCGTGAAGCACTTTCGGCGTATCGCCATCCTCACCTTCCACGCGTTCGAGCTCGCCCTTCATGTAGCCCTGCATCTTTCTCCAAGGCTTTCAGGCCACCGTGATACCCTTGACCGGTGTCTTGAGAGAGATACCTGCTTCTCACGGGCAGAGCGGCCAAGGTCAATGGCGGTCTGCATCGCTCGCATGCCCGACTCCACCTGGGGGTCGAGTCTGTCCAATCAACGGGGGCAGAGACGAGAAGAGAGGGCGAGGGATGACAGGCAAGACGTGCTGAGGAAGTAGAGTAGACGGTCGATGCTGTTGTCTCGTAGTAGGAGGCTGCGGTCTCTGCTCGGTGCCATCTAAAGAGCCCTCCCTACTCAATTAACTAACGCGGAGATTTGTTGTCGTTTTATTTCGAATTGCTTCAATATTTATTCGGTTTCTAGGCTACGTGTTGGGAAGAGAGATGCACGGAACGCACACCGTCACTCCGGCCGAGTTGGCTGCGAGGGACGGCGTTAACTGTTACAAAGCCATATCTCTCCCCACAAATATTAGCCGGGGGAATACGACTGCAAGCACAGGAGTTCCGAAAAACTGGCCAAGTCCTCAAATGGTACACACCATTCTACAACACCCGACTAGATACCGAATACTCCCAAACATATTCCCCCACTTCGAAACAAAGGGATGGGAGGGCGGGTTTTTCTAGACTGCCGCCGCTACGTTGGGCGGATGCTGCAGTCCTTCCGTTTCTTCGTGCGCTCTGTAGCTCCCACACGTTACTCGGCTTGCTACAACCGCTGCGTGCTCTCGTGCACGGAATGGCAGCAAGGGCTATAGTTCCTAGCACCCGAAACCTTCCTCCTTCCGTGTCACAGGCCAACTACTCAAAAAAGGTACACAGATGTATACTCCCTCCCCACGGGTAAACCTTTCCAAACGATGTCGTTTTGCTCTTCGAGAACATCATCGGCAATTCGTAACTCTTTCTCATTTTTTCTAAGTGATGGTGTCACGCGGGCAGCCCGTGGCTTTCATTTCCTACACTCTGCGCTGGGCAAGCACTGGGCCGGAAGCACGGTGGCGTTAAGTCGGAAAACGTATTTTTGGACGAGGGGGGTTGTCATCAAGCTCGCGGTATTCTGCTTGAGCTGCGAGTCTTTGGGCGAGTGCAGGTTTAAAAAATATTTGTAAGCACTACATACGGTTTGATGCAAGCTTCCCGTGTCTACTTTCGGCAGCACAACTTCTCAGATAGTGACTGCCGCGTTCACAATTATGCTGCAGGTATGTTAATCAACCGTCAACGCCACCGTCACCACCACAACCACCAACAACAACAATAGCAACAACCATAGCAACAACAACATGTGAAACTGACACGAAGATCCATGTGGTTGCTCAGGTTAAAGCCGAGACGCCATCACCGGGCTCACGAGAGAACACGCCGCCCCGGAGGCCATTCCGGTATTCCTGCATACAGGGATTCCTCAGAGGGAGATGATGGAACACTCTTGTCTGGACACCGTCTCGTTTTCAGACACGATTCTCCTGGTTCCTTTCTTCAAGAATGACGCATGGTACAGTGACAATGAGAGAGAATGGACTTGCGCTCGTTGTAGAAGCCGTAGTTGTTCTTGCCCATGCTGCTTCTAATAACCAAAAGGAAACAGCGGTTCTGCATTCTCTGGAACCCCCCACAAGGAACAATAGTAGCGGAATAATTGGTGGAGAGGCAAGGACTTCGATGTTTTCATGTTTCCTGTTTCCGACCCATGTACGCCTCTCTCAACCCTCCTCTTCCTCTAGACGTTGGTTACGTACGGAACGATCCCAAGACACGCGAGCTTCCGCGCTGCATTTAGACCTCGTCTATCTGCAGCAGCGGCAGGTCGAGGCCACGGGGGAAGCGAGCGACAGGCAGCAGGTAGCACATGAACACCTTGTGTGGGCTACCCTCGAGCCGTAACGTGTACCATATTGCTTTCCCCGTGGCCTTGGCTTGCCGCTGCTGCGGACTGATGGCGTTATGGAATTCTTCACGAACGTTTGGGTATCTTCGGATCATACAGTGGGTAATCAGCGCCTGGAGGTAACGCGAAGTAGGATCGTCGTAAACATGTTCATTGAAAACGCCGAAATACTCCTCTCGGCCAACCAGCCCACTGCTACTGTTGTGGGTGCTTTTTCGAACCTCACACGGCCATCCCTCTAGCTGCATGTGAGTCGTACGACCGGCAGCCACCCGGTGCAGGGCGAATGAAATTTCACGAAGGAGCGATTTGTCTCATTACGCTTTGAGCCGGGGCTACCAAGCCATAGGTCATCGTTCACGCCGAGTATCAAAGATCGGTAGACGTATGACAGCATTTCTCCGCATACCGTAATCTACACAAGATAACACACCCCCGGTGATACATTTTTGGCTTTAAAAATGTTATCACCGGGGGTGGTATCCTGTGGGGGGTGTGGTATCTTATGTAGCCCGGGTGATAAGTGCAGCTCGCAGGGGCACCTAAGGGGGTGTGATAAACCAGGGGGGGTGATAGCACGTCCGAACACCCACAGAGTGTGTTTGGGGGTGTGATAAATGAGGGTGTGTGATAAAAGGGGGGTGTGATAGCCAGTCTGAACATCCGCAAGGTGTGTTTGAGGGGGTGATAAATGAGGGCGTGTGATAAAAAGGGGGTGTGATAGCAACTCCGAACACCCACAGGGTGTGTGTTTGGGGGGGTGATAAAAAGGGGGGGCGATAAAAAGGGGGGGTGATAACACTGCTTGTAGAGTCGAACCGCTGCTGCCGCACACTCGCAGGGGTGCCGCACACTTGAAGTGTGGTTCTGCGGGGATGTGGTAAAACAAAGGGGCTCAACGGAGGTGACGAAACTCCTGAGCACGTGATCTCGGTGATGACTCAACCCCCTCAACACCGAAGAAAGTTTCAAACAAAATAATGTCAGCAACCATCACGGCTTGATGGAGCATGAAAAATGAAAATTAAATCGAAGGTACCTTGTCCGATATGATGGGAGGTACATGCGGCAGCATTCTGCGCTCCCTGCACATTCATGTTGTTGGAGGTCTCCATGCGGGGTGATTCCCCGCACGCAAGTGTTGTGTGTGTGTGACAGCAGTGTGCGATACCCACGGGGCAGATGATGCATCACCCCGGTGATAGAAGGAGGGGCCCCGTGAATGTATGCGGCGTGACCACGGGGTGTGTTATCTTATGTAGCCCGGGCGATAAATCGATGGTTTATTGTTTTCTTTCGAATTGCCTTGATAAATATTTCTGTGGCCTACGGAGGGAGACATCCCCCGTACCACACGTTCCGCACGGCACAAAGCCTCTGCGGTATCCTAACGTGTCTCTGCTTCTAAACACAAAATCTCCCTCTGAATACTACCAGACGGGACGAAACTGTTGCACAGTAGCAGTCTCGGACGATTGAGCCTCCCAATGGTACGCACTACCATTCAGAAAACACCCCAATGCTACGCCATACTTCTACGTGGCAAACGGTTGCGCCAATTCCGAGTCACAGAAATACTTAGATGCCTCTCCTAGGTGAGTCCTCACTCGTAACATCTCCTATCCCCCACCTTCGAAAGAAAAGGGGTGGGTGGGCGGGAGAAAAGCTACGAATTTCTGCTAGCTACTGGTCCAAACTTCGATGTAGCTAGCTGCTGCCCTCCTTCCCGCGTGACCCTCCGACGCGGGCTGCGTGTTACACACTGTGCATTCCTCAACACGTGGCCCTTGGTCCAGTAGACACGCGTCTATCATACTCTTGATGCAGGAGCAGCGAGGCAGCAGAATGAGAACTCCGTGAGACCTTTCTTTTTGTAAGACCCCAGAAAACCAAACCAAGACAACCCAACCAACACGCCACAACAAGAACTCAAATACAACCGTAGATCTGGGAGATGTTCCGAATTCTTCCGTGCACAATAAACTACAGTTTATTCGGTCTTCGACAACAAACTTTCATTTTGTCAGAAATGCCGAAAATTACCACCGGGGTGTCGTATTCTGTGGGGGGTGTGGTTTCTTATGTGGGTGTGTTTATCTTGTGTATTTTACGGTAGGTTTCTGTTCTAGATCGCGTTCTTTCACTTAACATGGTGGGTAGGCCTCACCATTCGAGCGTAGAGGCACCGTTTCCGTACGTCATCCTAAAAACAAATCAACTATAGTCACCCATGAGAGCAGTGAGTGGTGCACAACCTTTCTTGCATTGTGTCTGCCGTACCATCCCACGTTTGACGCGGCGGAGCATGATCTGCACATAAAGAACGATAGCCCACTGGGGGGAGTAGTAATCCTCTTTGCCATGCAAACTTATTTTCACCACGAACGTCTCAATCACCATCATCGCGGATAGTCTTACCGATCGTGTCCCGCACGGTTTGAACGTAGGTGGAGCTAGCGCATGTAATGCGGTCGCTATTTGGTCGTCCTCGTCACCGTCTGGTACTACCGGCGACAACAGGAGCGGACTCTGGAGAAGTCGGGACAAGGTGTCGAGGCTCGGGCGTCGGCGTGGGTTCTTGTAGAATCGACAGGAAGGCAAGAGTCACAAGGTGTTTGTGAATGAGCAATGGATGTCTTCGAGAGGTGGGCGTGCTCGGGGTGAAAAAAAAGCCAGCCCGAATACGCCCACATCACGAAGACACATTTTGCTTAGGCTTAGGGTTAGGGTTAGGAAATGGTGACTGGCTCTAATATTCCTGTCGATGCTCCACACGAACCGCTCCGACGCGTGGACCTCGACACCTTGTCCCGGCGCCTCGAGTGCCCACTCCTGTGGTCGCCGGTAGTACCAGACGAGGACGAGAACGACGGAAACAGCGGCGGCATGACGCCCGCTGGCCCCACCTATTTCAAAACGTGCGGGACACGATCGACATGACTATCGGCGATGGTCTACTGGCGGATCGAGCTCTCGCCACTACAAAAGGGGCATCCGCCTCTCCAAAAGGGTTATAAGGCAAGACCAATGCAGATCAATGTGCGTGTGGATCACTTACCGAGGTTTGTGCGGATCAGTGTCCCTGGGTGGGGATCGACGACCCCACGGGTCTACCGCTCTAGACAAAAGGGATTTCAATATTACAGACAAGACCAGCCAGTTCAAAAGTGAAGGAGGGATGCTGTGGTTCCTCAGGGCTTTGGCTTGAGCAATGCACAGGACGACAAATGAGAGCATCAGACATGGCGGTGGATTGGGTTTGTTGATCATACGGGAAGACACTTCGCTGAACATTCAGCTTCAGCAGTCCTAAACGTCGACTGCAACTGAACGCTCCAGTTCAATATTGCAGGACTACACACATCGAGCAGCAAATGAACCCCTGTCCGTGGCATGCATATGGGCGGACACACCGCAGCAGCCACGCGGTCGCGGGGGTGAATTGTGCATGGCCGAAAAGAGTTTTCTCCGCCGTGGACCAAAAAACGCACGCAACTATACAGCATTGATACCGTCGTTGCGTTTCCATCTCTCGCGACCACCCTCTGCGCTTCAATTGTCCGCCAAGTACTCCCTACTTGAGTACTTCCAACTTTGCCTAACCCTCAACCACCCAAAAGCCCATGTCCAGTGGTAGGCCCCCGTCTGTCTGCCGTGCCGTAGCTCACAGCCATTGTGTAGTCTATCAATTGGGCATGCAGATATTTTCCGGATAATTTAAAGCTGTGTATAGTATCTTCTCGGCCCGCCGGTACCGCCCTCATCTATGGTCACGATTGGTCAGGTCACGTCGGCGGCGGAGATGGGAACCACCTGGACTATACTTACGTCCACGAGCTGCATTCGCTTATTTTTTGTTCTGAGAACAGGCAACAGGCACACACGCCCTGCAAATCGACAGCGGTGGGATATCCTCAACCAGAACAGCGTGCGAAGCCTCCACGGGCAACATATCAATTTATCCTCACCAGCTGGGTGTAGGGTGTGTATTCTACGTCGAAGCACCTCCGGACACGGCATTTTGTCTCGTCTTGAATTGCGCGACTGCGCATTTGACCATCAATAACGGTTCTGGTAACGTCTGCCTTGTGTTTTCTTCCGCGGGCGACATGAAAGAACTACACTTTTGTACATGTACCGCCAGAGCAAGAACTGCGACCGAACTTGCCGTGCCCCGAGCTCCGCCATCGCCCTCTATTTTTCTCCTTCTCAACGGTAGATTGTACTTCCGTGGCGTACGCTAGGTAGTAGATGCACTTTCCCGTGCAAGATCTAGCTTCTCCAGGCTGTGCAGCAGTCTGCAGTAAAGAATACTTACACCTCTTTACTGCTGCAGGACAGGACACGAAGCAGAGTGCTCCTGAAGAAATTCCTGCCGTTCTCTCTTCGTTGAAGTTCCCCCTGACCACCTCTCTCTTTCCTCTACCCCCCCTACACCTTCTTCTCGTTGTTCACCTCCCTCGCGGTGGCCACAGGATGCCGGCTCGGGTGGACTACGCCGACCCCCCGCCGATCCCCGATCCCGGATCCTCCCCCAACCAAGCACGCAAACAAGCGGCGGAACCGGTGCCGTTTCGGAGGGATGCGGTATATTCCTTAATCCCCACTCTTGCCCCACTCTCATTTTTTTTTTTTTCGTGTGGATGTGTGATCCAACCTCCCCCACACGCAGCAGTTTCACTCTCCCATCTGAGCCTTTCCTCGCTCCCATCTGAGCCTTGTGCGCACCAGCACCATGGCAAGACCAGCAGAGAACACCGCGAAGAAGAAGAGAAACAAGACGAAGCGTAGAGTCAAGGTAAGACTGAAGGGAAGGGTGTGGGTGAGGCAACCTTGGTAGCAGAAGGTGCTGTAGGTTGGGTTGTCAGGTGTTGGGGAGATCTCAAAAACTGCTGTTGGTAGACTAGGTAGGGTTATCAGGTGTTGGGGAGATCGAGATACTGAGCCTAGACTAAACATGTTGCGCCAGACCACGAAACAGATAGCGATGCATGCGACACGCCTGCTCTCCGTTCTGAGACACTACCTTGGTGCCTTGTAAGCAGTTGCCAACCCCGGCCACGTCAATCACGTGGGCCGTTGTCTAGGTGCGCCCACCCTCTTCCTTGTGCGTTGGATGTAAATATTTCGAAGCCGCGATGTGATGGCTAAAACGGAAATAGCCATCCGCCAGCCGACCTCACGAAACATGAACCGATGTGCTACAGCCATGAAAAAAGCTGTACCTACAGTACATCATGACATGTATAGCTGCTGCCTGTCGCGGTTAGTCCAAACATCGCGTCCACGAGATTGTGATCCTATCATCTGGCATTGTATCGACCTCCTCGTGGATTGATCCACTTGTTTGACGTTTCTCTTAATAATTCATAAAAAAATAAAGGGTTTGCTTTTGGAAGATTCATTGAGACTTGTTTGGCATTATAAATCGCTTCAAGAATGGGTAGTCTTTCTGTGTGTGTTTTTATTATTCCTTAATTAAATCGCTTCAAGAAATTCTTGGTTATCAACACCTACCTGCAATCTCTACGGGATATTGAAATAAATGCTAAAAATAATCTTAAATGCGAGCGTAAATCAGGATCTGAATCACAAATGTTTTTCCCCTGAAATAAAATTTCCCCTTCTATTACATCATAGGATGGATGACCAGCAATAACTTTAGAGAGTGTACTTTTGCATGGATTTCTCCCTCAAAAATAGAGAGGTTTACTCCTCTTAAAATTTTATTAAATGTCTGGGTTTCTGAGTTGGAGAGAATCGTATTTCCGGAAAAAATATTGAACTATAAATAGTTTAAAGTAACACGGGCCTTGATAAAATTTAACCTACAATTGAATATATTTTGTATTAGTAATTAATATATATTCCATCAATCTTGTTGTTTTAGTTTAATTCGAATTTATTTAAAAAACTTTTTATCCTAAAAAAAAAAAGCCCATCCTTATCTACTTTGCACTATTTATCAAAGCAATCTAAACTGCTAGAGGGGAAAATAGAAACAGCAGATACTACCGGATATCCCTTGCTCACACTGCTCAAAGCCCAAGGCGGCCGTGTTTGTGCGGGAAAGCAAAGGGTCCCAGCACCCACCGATGTTGTGGCGAGTGATACAAGTGTGTGGTGCTAGAAGGTGTGCTGGTTCCCCGACTCTGGTTCCTGCCGAAACATGTATACTCCGTCATGGTGGTATTCTTTAGTCACACACACATGTCTCTCTCGGGTCATCTACAGTACGTACTTGTATCTCGGGTCATCTACTGTGTGTATTGTACTGTAGCACGCACAGACAAGCTTCGCCGCTAGAAATTTCAGCCGTAACATGCAGTGACACGCACATGCAGGGGCGCATGCCTGCCGCACAGCAGTGGAAGGCTGAGTGTATTGCGCAGTCGGTTGGTGTGGTGGCTGCACCCCAGACCTCGATTATATTGTACAGAAGGGTCTCCATCTGAAAAATATTAGCACCATTGGCACGCCTATACTATTTTCTAGGGAAACGACGGACGACGATATTCTTTCAAAAACACCGCTCAGCTTCGATGTTCCCACGTCATCCCATGGCGACACCGCATGTTTTCATCGGCGAGGCTATGTGCTAGTGTGTCCGGATGGAAGAAAATGCAAGAGAGTGACAAGTTTGTGTCCCTCCCAAGCAAAAATCCAGCAACCGTTTCGGACAAAAAGGTTGATACCCAGGACTGAGTGACGAGTTGCGCGGCGGGGGTGAAAAGGGCTAAGTTGTTCCCGCGCGCGTGCGGTGACCCACCAACTTGTTCTGCGAGAAACAGGATGCGCAGGAGGTGGCAAAGGGTCGACGGAGACAGGCGGCGACGCTGCTGCAGGCCGTTTACCGAGGGCTGTACGGTCGCCGGATCGCTGCATATAGGTACAAGATGATGTGTTTGGCCGGCTGTGTTTGAAGCCCCAGGGCGGCAACACATGCCGTTGGTCGTTGTGGCTGGCATACGCCTTTCGGTATTTTTGCCGGTTGTGTTTGAGCCAATCTGGCGGGTAACCGTGCGACACCACCTGCACTAGTCAAGCCTTGCCCTCGTGTCCAACAGCCCTGTGCTTTCAGGTTGGAGATGGCACGCTTTGTATTTTTTCGTAGCTGGCAAGCTTTTGCGTCAGAAAAGTCAGCCCCTTTTCCCTTGCCTGATCTTGCCACGTACTAAATATTGCGTTGAGCCGTGGAGAACGTGAAGCTCAGTATCATGTCTAGACAAACGGTGATCCAGTACACAACGCCCGCCCAAGATTGAAACCGTTTCGTCGTTGATTCGACCCCATGAAAAACTGCCAAAGGCGCGTGTACGAGAAGGCGGCCACGTCTATCCAGCGTTGTTTCCGGGGTGTCCTGCGGCGGCGTATCATGATCGAAGAGCGAAATCGGTGCCGGCGAGAGGTAAATGTTGGAAGTGCTTGCAGTACAACAACCCATGTGTTGTTTGCAAGGGTTTGTGCCGTGTTGTGAATGCCGCAGCTAGGAAGAAGCACTGATAAGCAAATAGAGAGGTGGAAGAAGATCCCCGCCAGCCAGCCTCTCCCACTCGATATATCTTCAAATACCCAGCCTCCACAATCGGCCTGATGGATGTGACACTACCGATCCGATGGCAGCACCTTCAAAAGTTGTAATCTTTGATCGTGATTCTCCGTCCGTCTTTCATGTTAGTGAGTGTTTCCCTTGCTCTTTAGGCTTTCAAACTGTCGACCTTAGTGACGGGGATGTTGTGCGGAGTGGACCGCCAGAGCTGAAAATGTGGGTAATGCCCCGGGAGCAACTGAGGGTAGAGCTCGCCCGTTTCGGCCACTTTCTGATCTAGGCTTGGACAGCATCTTGTTCAGCTCAGACACTAACCGATTGCTGTTGCAGAGATGCCGAGCAGGGTAGACGAGGAGAGACAAAGCGCGCAACCAAGAAGCCCGCGCCTAGGGTGCCAGTACTACTGTTGCATCTCTGTCGTGCCTCCCGCAGCCAGAGTGGCCGTCCGCGTCTCCAGGGGCCGCTCGCTCTTCTTGTAGCGAGTATATACGTTGTTCGCCCCAAATTCTTGTAACGCGTATTTAGTGTACTGGCACATATTGTCTCGATGAATTTTCCAGGGGCCAGAGTATTTCTCGAGATCCTCTGCCTCTGTCGTCGCCTACCTCAAGCCTCACGCACGTGCATGTACCACCCCTTCTCCAAGCCTGTAGCAAACACTTCGCGACGGTCGTGTGGTCCCTGCCAGATCAACCAAGCGCGGATTACTCTCCGTATGTAGCGAAACACACGTGTTGTGTTGCCGATAAGGCTGGCCGATCGATTCAGCGCTGTCGCATTCTCTCCACCTGGGTTGGCTCAGGTTTCCAGTAGGATAAGATTAACATCCCAACCTTGCGCTACAGTACGAGGCTCGAGATAACTATTATAGCCAGTGCTGGTTTGGGCTTTTTTTTCTGGCACCACAACAACGAAACCCCTTGCAAACTGCTGCATATCAACTCCCGCACCCCATTGGTCCTAGGAGAGCGGTAGCGTCGACCCAGCCCTCGATCTTGCCAGCCCGTCAGCCCGGCAAGACGAGGCGCCCAAAGATCAGCCGAACAGCGAACCCGACCACGGCAAGCACGAGGGAACTCTCTCTTCCCCCGCCTCGACCAACAGCGGGGGGTGGTGGGGCGGCTACGAGACGTCCCTCGGTAGCGACGAAGGGAGCGACAGCAGCATCGGTGGTGGCAGCACCGGCGGGTACGCTAGCTCATCCCGCGCGGGGGAGCGAGAGGCGGAGGGGGGTCCTCCATCCCCTTGGACCGACGACGGCGAGGCCTGGGGCGGCTACTTCCCCCCTGACGGAAGCACGGAGAGCAACACGTGCGACGACGACATCGAAGGGACAACGGACGAAGACGGTGCCCAAGGCGCGCGCGGCGAGGTATCCGCGCAGCTGCCTCGCCGGGCGTTTGCGACGGCCGAGGTGGTCGAGCTTCCGGCGGAACAGGAGGTTTGTTGGTCATACGCCACCGAAGCACTCTTGCGTTTGTCCAATGGTCGCCACTCGTGCCCAGTCATGGTGTGTGGATGAACACCGGTCGCTGCCGCAACACACTGTTTTGGGCGTGATGACTTCATTTTGAACGTCATGTGGCCGAAATATTCGCCTGGATCCCTCACCCTCTGTCCCCTTGCTGACAATTTTAAAGTGTACTCGACGGTTATTCGGTTCCGCAACACACAACGAGAGGCGCCTACCACTCTGCGTGTTGCCCCCTGGAACAAACTAGTCATGAGGGAAAATTTTGTACCTGGTACTTCTTTTCTCGCTGCGCAACACGATCAATCAACCAACCGACTCCCCGACACTACCTCCTTTTGACGACGACTAGATGGACACCCAAGTCGACGACGTGGATCAAGCGAAACCTCGGACACCCCTGCGACCATCCGCTCCCGTCTTCACGCCGCGGACACCTCTTCGAGCATGCGCTCCTGCCTTCACGCCGAGGGCACCCCTCCGAGCATGCGCTCCGGCCTTCACGCCGGCGGCCGCCACTAAGGAAGGAGAGAAGGGATCCAGGCCGAAGGTGGCCCTTCGTGGAAGCACGACGGATTTCGCGCACGCGGCCACCGGCGTGGGCCCTCGTCAGCCGCCGAAGGCCGAGCTACCGGCGATGGTCGTAGATGGAGGTGTCCCTCCGCTCCACGTCTCCACGCCCTCACCGATGCCGACGCCGGTGCCACTGCCGCCGGGCGTTGGATCACCACGACCACCCCCGCCGCAGCACGTGGACGACTTCAGCATCGCCCCCGCCACGAAGCCCTCGGCCGCCGCCGTTGCCTCCGGTCAGACCGCCGCACTCGCCGCCCCTCCCTCCGGAATGGGCCACTACACCGGTCTTCGAGGCGACGGCAACAACCTGTCGAGCCCTCACAGCGACAGCGACCAAGAGCCTGTCAGCGAAGGGGGGTTGGTGATGTACGGTGGGTACGACGGGCGGTTCGGGTTCATCACCGAGCTTGCCAGTGCGGGCGGACGAATGTCCACCTTTGGGCGACGGCTGGGGCAGGGAGGGTGTGCCGTGGTGACCAGGCTCGAGATGCTCGACGCCGAGCACCAGACCCGTGTGGACGAGTACACGGGAGACGCGGGGCTCGTGGTGAAGATTGTCCCCATGGTATGTTACAGTTGGTGTGGTGCCTCGTGTACAGTTGCTCATATTTGCATTGTAACCATGTGCTTGGTTAAAATTTCGTTTGTTGTGCAGGGAACCATCTATAAGGACGGTCCGTACGTTTGCCCCTTAGTTTTCGGTGTTTTCGGTGTTCGATCGACAACGTCGGCTGAGAAATGTCCGTCAAAGTTCGCATTTGTTTCCAAGATCGCACGGCCCGACACCATTCCATCCACTCCCCTGACTTGATTTGAATCCAGGACGGCGGTCGTGCCATGGAGATGGCGATGGAGAGGGAGATTCGAGTGGTGAAGATGTGAGTCGCGAGTTCCGTTCGGGCTAACCGTTGGCAACGAGTATACCTTCCTTTCAAATCCCCCCCACAAGGTCTACCCTGTTCACTGTAAGGACCATGTATTCGGCTACGTGAAGTCGTTCGAGAAAACCTATAAGCAAGCTATCGAAGATTCAATTGGTGACCTGACAAACACCTCACCCACACCTAACGCCGCATCTAGGCGAACGCTGGAAAATAGTCTACGTTCATGCATCGCGTTGAGTCGGGCCGACCCTTTGTTTGAATCTTCCTGCGGTGCTATTACGGTGCCCACGGCGGTACGCCTCCCGAACCTCCTTTGGCAGGATCCCTCCGCGATGCCACGTGAACGTCATCGACATCATGTCCACGAGCATGGAGAACCTGTGCATGGTTATGCCGGCCGCGTTCTGCGACGTCCAGCACCTGCTCGAGGACAAGGCGGTGCTCGAGATGATGTCATTCGCCGACAGGATGATGTGAGCCAAGCTGGGGGCAGCCTGCGGGTCAGGCCAGCGCAATCACGACGCGTATTTGTTGGTGTCGGGAAAACACATGTCAATCTCCTAGTAAGGCTGGAATGAGCTTTTTCTAGACGACACAGGAAGAAATACAATGCCTGTTGCCTCTTCTACGAATATCACTCTCGGTGGTGTTTCGAGAAGCTCCTCTCGAACGTGCTTTCGACGACGAGACAGCGAGAGTCGGCACAAACATGTGCAGTCTGCCAGATGCTGTAGGCTAGTTTGAACTCCGACTTGCATTCACCAGCTCCAGCAGTTCAGCTCAAGGCTCCTGCTCGGTCCTAGTATTGCCCCTAGTTCCTCACAGTAGCACCAATCAATGTCTCCACTCTTGATTCGAGAATGCTGAACGCTCAGGTTTATCTCTCACGCTATCTATCAGGATGATGGCAGGGGCGGCTCGCGGGTTGGACTACCTCCACTCTGAGCTGGGCCTGACGCACGGTGACGTCAAGCCGGAAAACTGCCTCTTGACGAAGGGGTTGGTCATCAAGCTCGCCGACTTCGGGTTGAGCGGCAAGTATTTGGACAGTTTCTAAATAGGTTAGACTGTTTTCGCAACCGCTGTACGGGCTGAGACTTGGTTCAGAGGTATTCGTGACGTTTCAACTTCGTATGTAGGCGTACTTTGTAATGATGTTGTGACATTGTTGACATTGTACTGCTGTCATCACCACCACCACCACCACCAAAACGGCGGAGGTTAAACAGTTGACACGATGTTTTTCCGTGTGTTTGCTCAGGCTCGAGCGGAGAGCCCATCTGTGGGCTCTCCAAGCAGTACGCCGCACCGGAGGCCGTTGCGGTGTTCTTGCGCCGAGAGATTCCTCAGAGGGCGATGCTGCAGCCCTCCCTCGACACCTTCTCGTTGGGAGTGATGATGCTTCAGGTCCTCTTCGTCGAGGAGGGGTCGCGGTTCAGTGGCAAGGCGAGAGAAACGACGGGCGTGCTCGTCGAATATTGTTGCTCGTAGATATTGTTTTTGTTGTTGTTGTTGTTGTTGTTGTTGTTGTTGTTGTTGTTTTTCCTTCAGCTGCTGCTTTGAACCAAAGTTAACAGCATTAGTGCTAGCTCTGACCGCCGTCCACTACGAAGTTTTGTTGTAGGTTCGTTGGTGGAGAGGGTACGCTTCGATGTTTTCATCTTCACGTTTCCGGCCCTCTTCCACCCTCGATTCTTCCAGGCTCTGGCTACGCATGGCTTCACCCCCAAGCACCCGAGCTTCCACTCAGCCGTCCAGAACGCCGCCTACCTGAAGCAGAAGTTCGAAGCAACGGGAACTGGTATCGACAAGGAGCGGTTCGAGGATGCTAGCACCGTCGTGCTCGACCTGCACGTGAGTCGCACAACCTACAGCCATAGCTGTCAAATCCCCGTCGTTTGGGAGATCTCCACGTTTTCGGTGTTCTGTTGCAGAGGCACCGCTTCCCGGTGCATCGTCCCCTACTAAAGCGGCTACATACCAGTAGTCTATTGTGGTCGCCGATGAGGGGAGAGAGTTGTCCACGCCCTTTGTCGACGAGTGTCTGTCGGCCACACGTCTTGATTTGTGCCTCGTGCTTCGATGCGCCTGCTCTCGATCAAGATCTAAATGTATACTTATCATCCTTTGCAGGTCTGCCCTTGACACATGGACCATTATTAGGGGCAAGGGGGCGGGTCGGCGGCACACTTCTAGTACCTTGTGTCCACGCCACCTGCCTTCCCAACTGTCTGTGCCACATGGACTCTCTCTGTAGAAGACCCACGCACAGTACTGCTGTAGGAGGCAATGAATGTCTTCGGCACGCCCGTTCTGTTTCTACCAAAATTCGCTTCGCCAACATTCTCAAAGACAATCGCATGAAACACTGAAGCTCAACACAATGCGTCTGTATGTAACGATCCTTCATCACCCGGCACACCAGCACCCTCTCGTTTGTGCCATGCCCGCGTCTACAATACTGATGTGATATTTGCAAGGACAGCGAAACTCCCCCGCCCCTGTCGAGAACTACAGTACTGTATTCATCATACAAGGACACTTGGCTGACGTTTGGCTCAAAAGATCCGAGTAGAACCCAAGAAACGCAGGACTTGACACCTCAAGTATTTCCATGTCATGACAACGCGCATGACATCCATCCGCTCAGGTAAACTACGCAGCTCAGCCCGCCAAGATGGGAGACCTCCGCAGGACCATCCTGAACCCGAGCAAGTGGAACCAGTCGGGGGAACTGCTCTTCCAGGAAGAGGTGTGAGCATTTCGCCCGTACCATAGCTCGTTTGAGTTGGGCAGAGGGGTTGCATAGGGAAGATGAAGTAAGCTCGCGCCTATCAATATTATTCTGTCGATGCACTTATTGTTGTGGGTGGATGCCTGGCCTTTGCTCGTGCATCACTATATCGACAGACCGCTCTGCGGCGGTGTCGGTGAGTGGGGCGGGGGGTCGAAAGTGCGGAAACGACTTTCTCTGGTGGAACCCCATGATTTGTGGAAACGACGTCCTTTTCGTGTGGAGATCCCATGATTCTAGGGCAGATGGTTTCTACCCTTCGGAGAGCTCAAGGGATTGGTTGCAGTTCTTGTGATTTGTCTCACAGCCTAGTCTAGCCGGTAAAGCCGCTGAAAACCAGAAAGTTGTGTATTTTGAGGCTAGATCGATGACAACACGTGAAGCATCCAGCAAATCAGAGCGTCGGCCTCCAGTGTTTGAAGCGGCGAAACTTGAGCTGGCCGCAGTGACCGTGGAGCCACTGGGTGACTAAGTCATGAGTTGTTGTTTTCACCATGAAAGCCCCAAACCCTCCCGTCTCTCTCGTTTATTGCTCCGCCCCCAACCCCACGTTTGATTGCAAACACGACCGACTCCAATACGTCAGCATCACCAAACACCTCACGCCTGATTCACAAAACCTCAGGTCACACAAGCGTTCCTGTCGCTGCTGAATGCGAACCCGCTAAGGCGCCCGAGTCTCGACACCGTGTCCCGGCTCCTCGCATGCCCGCTCCTGTGGTCGCCTCTGGTGCAACGCGGCGGCGAGGGCGGCGCAAGAATCAGCGACGGCAACGATGTTTTCCGCCCCCACCTGCCCCAAGATGTGCGGGAAATGATCGACATGACCATCCGCGATGGCCTCCTGGCAGACCCGGCACTCAACACAGCTAGAGGGGTGTGGTGGGATGCGCCGGAGTTCTTGTCGCCGTGGTGGAAGCGACCTCCGATAATAATGTGCATCGAGCCATGAGAGAGACATTGGGCGGCCCTGACCGATTGTTCCCGAGAAGGACTCCATTTTGGTCGTAGATGGTTGTGGTGGTTGGAGGTGTCATGGTATTGCGGCAGGTCGCGTTGGGCGGTGGTGGATGTACCCATCAAGACGTCGGGTTGTTTTATGTCTGGTCAAACGTGCGTTGAGGTCGTGTTGTGTCGTGTCCAGCCCTGGTAGTTTGTTTTCCCTGCACCTATAAGGTGTGACGATTTAACCCTTCTCGCGTCTTGCAGGCTAGAATGTTGTGGGAGTCCTTTTCTGCGACCCTTAGACGCGAAACGGCAAGGGCCAGACGCTTCCGGTCGCTGGTTCTCTTGATATTTCACCCAAGGATTTCGTACTGAATGTATCATCTTTACGCCCACACTCTTGTAGAATCCATTCATCTGTGTCACTTCAGTTCGTTCGTCGTTAAACAAACGACTCCAACTTGCGAGTAACAAAAGTACATTTAACGGCCGCCCACGGCAACATCCCCAAAACCAACAAAAGCAGTTCCTACAGTAGGTGATACCATCGAAGGACATTCTACGCCACTGTCGCCTCGGGAGGAAGGCACTGAGTGATTGATCGCCCACGAGAAAAACACCGCACCCTTTTTGCTAAGAGACGCAAAAAAAAGCGTATCTGTTTGAGAGGCTCTCTACACCCGCCCTCCTCCCCACCTCCGCCTGCAGCGTGTCATAGGCAATAGTACGAGACACTCATCGCATTTGCCGAAACTATGGAACGCCTCCCTGTCGAGAATAGACGCCCAGCACTGGCTTGGAACGCTACAAACAAAACCACCAACACAACCATGGGACATGCGAGACCCTTGGTACAACCGCCTGGCCACTGATTCAAGAAATGTGCGGCCTTCTCCCCAAGCCGCCCGCGCCAACTCGGAGCAAGTCAGCGCAAACGACGGGAGTACACACAGCTCTGCCCGTTTGCGACGAGCGCCACCGAGTGTGGAAGCGATTTCCCGCCCTTTCTCTTTCGTAGCGGTGCCCGCCGCAATCATCACTGATACACGCACCCTGACGACAACGCCTACAACACCAAGATATATTCTCGAAGAACGGTAGCACTGCTAGATGCAAGGCGTTACCGTTGTACATGTATGCGTGAAACCCTATTCGCGTGCAGGTGAAATGAAAAACGTAAGCAGCAAAGTTCAGGCGGAGTCCCCGCCGAACACACCCTCCACAACACCAGCACAAGGAGACTTAGCAAAACCAATAATCGTATTCCCCCCGCACATACGCAAAAGCAACTGGGGTTGAGCATCAACCTCAAACACATCAGCGCAAGAAGGAACCTCAGAAACAAGAAGAAACGCATCCGGTCGACCGACAAGCAGGACCGTGTCAGGAAGACTGTGAAGTCGGGCTTCTGGTCGGTGTCGGCCTCGTCCCACCTTGCCGTCGTCCCTCCCGCAGACGGAGAATCTATTGTGCCCCAGCGGAACGGCGTGCTCCAGCATCCTCGAGGTCGGCAGCGGTGTATACATCGAACGGCGTCCGTGACGAGAGCGGTGTAGGCGGCCATCGCTGCCCCCGCGACGGCTCCCTTGGTGTGGTCGTGGGAGAAATACCGCGAAAGCAGAAAAGGAGAAGGGGGTCAACCGATGAGAACGACAAAAAAATGAGAATAATTTTGTTACGGGATGGCGGGTCCGCGTGGAATATTCTGTAGGAAGATACTATCAATCTCTCTCGTGTCGTGTGCAATTTCCTCGCCACACGCATTGCTTGCAACTCTCTCACTACAGGCGCACCGGACAAAGACGAACAAAAAATGAGACACGTGATGCGCACAACTCTCCGTCCGATTCCACTCCATGTGGCGTCTTCGCCCGCAATGATGTACTCTCTGACACTAAAATATGTAACACGTGTTGATGTAGGAAAAAGAACGCATACACTTCCGTTGAGCATCAAACCGAAACCAGGGTAATAGGGAGTCCCATTCGAATATACGACACAGCTAATCATTTACCTTGACGGTTTCGCCGACTTGGACGCTGGACTTCTTCCTGAGCTTCTGGACACGGCTGAAGATCTCGCGAGCAAGCTTCTGTGACAAGACCGTCTCGTCCTTGCGCGTGTCGACCACCACCATCACCTTCCCTTCCTCCGACACGGCGGTCTAGCAGACACTCGAGTCTCCCTTGTAATCCTCTCTTCAGCATCAGTTCGTCGGCGGAGAGGGTATGTTCAAGAGGGTATGATCAACCGCTGCATATAGATGGTGTTCTGGAATGCTACATGAAAGCCCGGGTGTCTCCGGGTCATACCACATGTAGCCAGCGCCTGGAAGTAGCGAGGAATAGGGTGGTCGGGAAAATGGTCGTTTGTTACTTCGAAACATGCCTCTCGACCAACCATTCCACTAGTAGCACAGTATTCTACCTATTATATGTCGGGTAGCATTTTCTCAAATCTCACACGACCATTCCTCGAGCTGCAGGCGAGTCGCGATACTAGCAGCCGCCGGGTGTAGTTTTCACAAAGAAGTGATTCGTCTCTAGTCGCTTTGAGCCGGTGTCAACAAGCCATAGGTTATCGTACGCGTCGGATATCATTGATCGGTAGACGTATCATAGACGTTTTCCTCATAGGTGTTTTTTGAGACCGCCTCTTTCACATGGTGGCTAGGCCTCACCACTGGAGTGCAGAAGCACCGCTTCGGTACGTCATCTCGCCCAAACGCCTTCTAGTCGAGCGTGAACACAGCGAGCGGTCCACGCCCTCTCCCGCATTGTGTCTGTTGTACCACGTCTCGTTTGGCGCAGCGAAGCATGACCTGAAAAACAGAGACTGCGGGGCCGCTTGGCGCGAAACCCTCTTCACCATGCATTATTGTTTTCACCACGAACGTCTCAATCACCATCGCGGATGGTCTTGTCAATCGTGCCCCGCAAGGGTCATATGTAGGTGGGGCCAATGCTTGTCCTGCCTTCGCTGTTTCCGTTGTCCTCGTCACCGTCTTGTACTACCGGCGACCACAGCATCGGACACTCGAGAAGTCGGGATAAGGTGTCGAGGCTCGGGCGTCGCAGCGGGTTGGTGTTGAGCATCGACAGGAAGGTTAGACTCACGTGATGTTTGTGAATGAGCAATATTGTAGGTGTATCCGTGACGTGGGCGCATTCGGGGTGGGACAATAACGTGACAAATACGTCCACATCACGGAACACACCTACTGCTAATTCACAAACACCTGGTGACTATAATGCTCCTGTCGATGCTCAACACGAACCCGCTGAGACTCCTGGGCCTCGATACCTCGTCCCGGCTTCTGGAATGCCCACTGCTGCGGTCGCCTGTGGTACAAGACGGTGGCGAGGACGACGGAAAACAGCGACGGCATGACGTGTGCTGCCCCCACCTACTTCGAACGCGCGGGACACGCAACATGACGGTCTGCTGGCGGATCCAGCTCTCGCTACTCCCAAGGGGTTAGTTTCAGGGTTAGACCAACGCCGATCAATGTGTGCGATGATCACATGTACCGGTGTTGTGCGGATCGGTGTCCCCCAACCTCCCGGACGCAAGGACTGAAAGAACCCTGGGTCTGTCCACAGTGGGGATCGACGACCACCGCGGGTCTACGCTTTTCGACTCAAGTAATTGTTTTTCCACGACAGTCGAGGCCAGCCAGTTCAAGAGCGAAGAACGAAGAGGGATGCTACGGTTCCTCAGGGCTTTGGCTTCAGCAATGCGTATGATGATGAAATAGAGCACAAGACATGGCAGTGGCTAGGGTTTGCTGTTCATACGGTAGGAAACCTCGCTAACATTCAGCTACAGTAGTCCTAAGCGTAATGGGCAGTCCTAACTGCTGACTGCAATTGAACACGCGAATTCAATATCGAAGGACTACTGTACACACATCGAGCAGTAAACGACCCTCTGTCCGTGGCATGGGCGGACACACCTTAGCAGCCACGCGGTCGCAGGGGTGGATTGCGCATGGCGGCCGAAAATAGATTTCTCCGCCGTGGACCAACATCGCGCACGCAACTACACAGCATTGATGCCATCGTTGCGTTTCCATCCCTCTGCGCTCCACCATATTCGCCGAGTACTCCCTACTTGGGGTACTTCCAACTTTGCGTGACCCTTATCTATGCCCAGAAGCCAGAAGCCATGCCAAGTGGTAGGCCCATCTATGTCTGTCGTGCTGTATCTGTCCATAGCTCTTATACAGTCTATAGGCTAGGCATATTTGGACTTGCAGATCTCCCGGCAGAAATAGCGGGGTTAGCGGGTGGGGTATCCTCCTCATCCAGAACAGAGCGGGCGAAGCCTCTGTACGGGTAACATATCAACTTCTCCTCATCAGCAGCGTGTAGGATGTATTCTACATCGAAGCACCTCCGGACACTGCATTTTGTCTCGTCTTGAAGTGCGCGACTGCGCAATTGACCATCAATACCGGTTCTGGTAACGTTTGCCTTGTTTTCTTCCGCGGGCGACATGAAAGCACTGCTGTACATGAACACTTTCTCCAAAAAAAAAGTTGTACTGCTGTACCGCCAGAGCAAGACCTGCGGCCGGACTTGCCGTACCCCGAGCTTCGCCATTACCCTCTATTTGTCTCCTTCTCAACGGTAGGCTGTACTTCCGTGGCGTACGCTAGGTAGTAGATGCGCTGTCTCCACGCAAGATCTAGCTTTTCCAGACTGCGGCAGCCTGCAGTAAATAGTACTTGTGTAGCCTCTTTACTGCTGTAGGACAGTACACAAAGCAGAGTTCTCCTGAAGAAATTCCTGCCGCTCTCTCTTCGTTGCGGTTCCCCCTGACCACCTCTCTCTTTTCTCTGCCCCCCCTACCTTCTTCTCGCTACTCACCTCCCTCGCGGTGGCCACAGGATGCCGGCTCGGGTGGACTACGCCGACCCCCCGCCGATCCCGAATCCTCCCCCGACCAAACACGCAAACAAGCGGCGGAACCGCGACCAAACACGCAAACAAGCGGCGGAACCGGTGCCGTTTCGGAGGGATGCGGTATATCCCCACTTGCAGTTTTTTTATATTATTGTGTGATCCAACCTCCCCCACACGCAGCAGTTTCTCGCTCTCCCATCTGAGCCTTGTCCACACCAGCACCATGGCAAGACCAGCAGAGAACACCGCGAAGAAGAAGAGAAACAAGACGAAGCGTAGAGTCAAGGTAAGGCTGAGGGAAGGGGTGTGGGTGAGGCAACCTTGTAGCAGAAGGTGCTGTAGGTCGGGTTATCAGGTGTTGGGGAGATCTCAAAAACATGTTGCACCCGACCACGAAACAGACAGCGATGCATGCGACACGCCTGCTCTCCGTTCTGAGGCACTACCTTGGTGCCTGATAAGCAGTTGCCGACCCCGGCCACGTCAATCACGTAGGCCGTTGTCTACATAGATGCGCCCACCCTTGTGCGTTGGAGACACTACCTTGGTGCCTGATAAGCAGTTGCCAACCCCGGCCACGTCAATCACGTAGGCCGTTGTCTACATCGATGCGCCCACCCTTGTGCGTTGGATGTAAATAACCCGAAGCCGCGATGTGTTGGCTAAAACGGACACAGCCATCCGCCAGCCGACCTCACGAAACATGACCCGATGTGCTACAACCATTAAAAGAGGAAGGTTTGTTCGTCGAAGCAGATAGAATAAACTGGTGTTTATTTTGTAAGAGTCGAATTAGAATTTGGCTTCATTTTCTACCGGAAACCCAGGGTCACGGTGTTTGGAATTATTAGTCTGGTAGTTGGGGGTGTCATTCCGTGATCGAGTCCACGCAGGGGCTGTAGCAAAGTCGGGTAACGTGTGACAGCTACAGAGCGCGTGAAGCAACGGAAGGACAGCAGCAGCCGCCTAACGCAGTAGCGGCGGCAGTTTAGAAAATCCCGCCCTCCCATCCCTTTTCTTTCGAAGGTGGGGGCATAAGTTCGGGAATATTCGGTATCTAGTCAGGTGTTGTAGAATGGTGTGTACCATTTGAGGACTTGGTCAGTTTTGGGACTCCTGCGTTTGCAGTCGTAGTCCCCCGGCTAGTATTTGTGGGGAGAGAGATGGATTTGTAAGAGTTGACGCCGGCCTTTGCAGCTAACGCGGCCGGAGAGACGATGAGCGTTTCGTGCGTCTCTCTCCCCAACACGTAGCCTAGAAACCGAAGAAATAATGAAGCAATTCGAAAGAAAACAAAATAAACTGTACCATCAGTAGTACATGTAGCTGCTGCCTGTCGCGGTTAGTTCAAACATCGCGTCCGCGAGATGGTGATCCTATCATCTGGCATTGTAGTATCGACCTCGTGGGTTGATCCACTTGTTTGAAGGGAAACATATACAGCTGTTGTTGTACTTAGCACCAGCTGGCATCACTGGTATACATCATCAGTGTATAGACTAAAAAGACTCGAAATAAGTCCAGTACCCAGCCGGTTTCCCTCCACTCACTGAAAAGACTCCACCACATCCCGTTCGACTGTGGGTATATCTCGAATGGTGTAGTCTTTCTGTGTGTGTTTTTATTATTCCTTAATGGAAACAGCAGATACTACCGGATATCCCTTGCGCACACTGCCCAAAGATCAAGGCGGCCGTGTTTGTGCGGGAAAGAAAAGGGTCCCAGCACCCACAGATGTTGTGGCGAGTGATACAAGAGTGTGGTGCTAGAAGGTGCGCCGGTTCCCCGACGCTGGTTCCTGCCGAAACATGTACTCCGTCATGGTGGTATTCTTTAGTCACACACACATGTCTCTCTCGGGTCAACTACAGTACGTTCTTGTATCTCGGGTCATCTGCTGTATGTGTTTGTACTGTATGACACGAACAGACAAGCTTCGCCGCTAGAAATTTCAGCCGTAACATGCAGTGACACGCACATGCAGGGGCGCATGCCTGCTACACAGCAGTGGAAGGCTGAGTGTATTGGGCAGTCGGTTGGTGTGGTGGCTGCATCCCAGACCTCAATTCTATTGTACAGCAGAGTCTCCATCTGAAAAATATTGTACACAAGTAGCACCATGCCTATCGTATTTACTAGGGAAACGAAGGACGACGACAATACTACAAATACGGTAGTCAAAGTGATACCACGCCCAAACGAACGACGGAGAGGATGAGCTCACAAGATG